TCAGTTGTGTGTGACTGATAGAAGAGGGCAGGCATTTTATCAAGCTTCTGTGTTATTTAACTACGGCTCTGCAACGTTTCAAAGAAACAATCCATGCTTCCTTATACTTTATACAATTCCTTTAGAACTAACTCCACCTATTGGCCAAAAGATCAAAAAGACTACAGCAGAAAACACTGATACAAAAGAAACAATAAAAGAACATAAAAGAAGGCCCGAGAGATGAAAGGAGTCAGTGAGTAGGAGAATGTATCTAGGTTAAAGAAAGTTCCAGGCCATCCCTGAAGACAAAGTACTTTTTTGGTCTTGATCTGTCACAGCAAAAGGAAAAAAAGGTTATTATTATTTTTAAAGCAAACTTCATTATTCAACATATTAGACTCTATATCAAACGACAACTAGGTAATTCAAAAAAGCAAAGAAATGTAATGAAGAATTTTTACAAAACTGCAATCCAGTGACTCTTCCTCTTATGGAGGCTCTATTTCCAGAAGAAAAATTTATAACACTAGAATACATACTTCACCAATATATATGACAAACAATATTTTTAAAAATATTACTAACATAAAAAATATAAATCATTAAGTCAGCAAAGAGTCAAACACATGGAAAAAGTCACAGAGTGGAAAGTAACCTCCAGAGGTCATCAAACCATCTTCCTAAAACACCACAAGTTGGTAACTCCCAGATCCAAGAAAAAGCAATGATTCCATCAATACACTTGGTGGAAGGGGATTTCTGTTTGGGCTTTTGGGAGGTTGAGAGATTAGGAGGGGATGAGAGGGAGGGAGTGAGAGAAAGATTGGCCATTCTAGAATTTTCCTTCAGTTCCATTACCAATGTACTGAGCGTTCATTGTGTTAATGTCTACAAATATACTTTGGTCATTTATTTTCGCAGCTCCATTCACTGCCAATAATATCAGTGACAAAAGAAAAGTTGAGTTTTCTATTTAAATCAACTGTTCAATCACTTTTCTTTTGATATATGTTCTACCAACAGAGTTTATAATCTTGTCAAAGTTTGTGTAATAGTAAGATCAGGATTCTTAATTCTGTATCTAATCTCTAAGTCAAGCTACCTTTACTCATCAAATCAAAGTTAAGTTCCAAAAGAAAAGGTGATGAGCACTATTTTTCTCTCCAAAAGGAAACAAAAAAGTATATCTAAAGACACAGATTCTCAAGTTGACCAGTTTAATACAAACATTGCTTAATTGTCATCCAAAAGCTCAGATTTTCTTGTTTTAGGGTTTAGTTTTCATTATATTGAAATGGCAAAGTTATCGTGACTTTATAAAAATTCACTGTAGAATTAGAATCATGTAATTGCAGATAAAAGTTAAATTTAAGAAGTACTAGAGCCGGCCCAGTGGCACAAGCGGTTAACTGCACGCGCTCCGCTGCGGTGGTCCGGGGTTCGCCAGTTCAATGCACCACTTGGTAAGCCATGCTGTGGCAGCGTCCCATATAAAGTGGAGGAAGATGGGTACAGATGTTAGCCCAGGGCCGGTCTTCCTCAGCAAAAAAAAAGGGGAGGATTGGCAGGTGTTAGCACAGGGCTGATCTTCCTCACCAAAAAAAAATTTAAAAAATGCAAAAAAATAAAAATAAAAAAAATAAAAAATAAATGTAAGAAGTACTAGTGTATATAACGATGAAACATTCTAAATTTTATCTGCTACTTAAGACAAATTTTAATTGTGTTTAAACATAAGGTGAAATGTACAACTCAGATTAAATCAGTGTTTAGTAAAAACCAATAGTGTATATATAGACAATGAAGGTATCATGGAAGCTGGTTAAAAATTCTAATGAAGAGAGAACTAGTAAGAATATAGCAACCTGGCTGAAATTGATATTCATTAGGGTACTCTTCACATCAATAGGGAGCATTTGGACTCTGTGGTCTTTATCAGTGTCCCAGCTGGTAATGGTTGAAGGTTAATGCTTTACCCCATTCTGTTCAATTTTCTATCCTAATTAGCCCTCCAAATCTATAGCTGTGAGCACCAAGTGTCTGTGCTCAAAAGAAACTAATTAATGCTAGCAAATTAGATCAAGTCCAAAGATCCAACAGCCAAACTCTTAGTTAAATGCTCCTTGTTAATAGGAAGTGTAGCTGTCAATAACTGCTGTTGGTGACTATAATGAGGCATCTTTCTTTCACTGAAAGTGATTTCATTTCTCTTTGTCCCTGGAAAAGCTGTTCCATTCCCTTCACAAACCTAAGTTGCTGGCAGTCTGACCCAGTTCTTATGATCAGCTGGGTTGAAATGACATGAAAAAAAAAAAATCAAACAGAAAAGCTTTCCTACATTATCGTGTTTCAGGCATTTAGCAGAAAGTCAGATCACTTATTAAAATTCCTATATCTTTATCCAAGAACTATACAATTAGTGTGCATAATGATTTTATATAAATCCTATAATTATTAAATAAAACAGAGGCTATAAGTAGTAAATAAACTACAACGGAAGTGTCTGAATTCTAAATTACAGCTTATTGCTCAGTTTAAATGTAGCTGTTCTGCTGCTGCTTGAGCAATACCAAGGTATGTTCTTTCCTAATTCACACGGTTAACCAGGGAAAAGACCAAGGATTATTCTCTTATAAAATAATCAATTTTAGATTCTAAAACACTGTTTTGGACCATATGGTCTAAAGAATCAATATATGATTATCTATAAAAAATTCAAATATTCAAAAATCAATTGTTATGTTCTAATAAGGACAAAAGCACTGAAATAACCCAAACGGATATGAAATTTTAAGATGCTTTCAGTCTTCAGAAGATTTTAAATACATCAAAAAAACAAAAACTTAACCACCACGTCAACATCCTAAACAACTTAACTTTTGACACAGAAGTGAAAATTAAACATTTTCTTTTCTGTACCATTACCAAGTAGTAGTTGTGCAACAAACAAATAAATATTAAAGTTACACTCTATTTCTTTCATTTCAAAAACTATAACAAAGTTTCATCATCTAAGAGTAAGCAAAAGCAGTTATGAAACCCAAAGCCATATAATCATTCTGCATTTTCATCTGAATCATGTGAGTAAAAACTCAGTCTATAATTGAGTTAGCTAGCTTTCTTTCATTCTAGATATCAGAAAAGTGTATTGCAAAACAACATAAATACAACTCATATATATAACTTTAGGCCAATACAGCAGTAATAAGTAAATTTTTCTGGTAGTAAAAAGTTAACCCTATAACTTTTTATAGGGTTTTTATATAATACATTTTATATATAAAATGTATTATCCATTTTGAAGTTTTACCCTCCCTCACTGGAATCTGGATACATATTTTTTAAAGTTCTCTGAGGCAGGTGGAGGATTATGTCTAGAGACTATTAGCATGACATCTGCCAATGCCGGATGTGCAATGAACCCTCTCTGCAGGTGCCAATGGGTTCATTTCTCCTGACACCCAGGGGTGGGGGTGGAAGGAAGATACTCTGATTAAACAACTAATTCATAGTAAAAGCAAGAGTCATACCACAGAATGAATCTAATAAATTGTTAATAATTTATTAATAAATTTATTTATGGATGATTTAATTTAAATCTAATATATGATTGGATTTAAAACTGCACTATGTCATAAGTCATTTAATTTAAGAAACAGAAATGACCATCACACAATGTCAAGTCTGAGGACCTACTCTTCTTTTATTGCCTCCATCTATCAATTGCAAAGGTCGTTTGCTAAGGAGATAGCATCAGAGGGACAGAAATGTTCCTAGCATCCAAATGTTACTGACACAGTCCTGAAACTACAGTTGACACAGCCTGGCTCCCCTGTAAAGAAACTTGCAGTGTGAATGCAGCCCATTATCCTCACTAAAAATTATTATGTTCCTTCAACAAAGAAGACTATAGGGGAAAGTTAAGGGGAGCCAGGAAAATAGTCTACATCAGCAAAATTTTACTACTACTTCTTATTAGCTGGCCATTACAAGAGGTAGATTTTTTTTTAAAAAAGACATTTCTGTAGTAATACCGTCATCTGCTTTTCTAATTACTATCATTTATGGCCTCATTTTTTACCGCCCACTGCTTTGTTTACATTTTCATTATAATGTTTCATATTCAATAATATATCTCTAGATATACAGAATACAGGAGTATTTCACGTTAAAAACATTTTCATGTTACAAAACATTTTCCAGGAGGCCGGCCCTGTGGCCTAGTAGTTAGTTCGGCGTGCTCCACTTCAGCAGCCCAGGTTCAGTTCCCAGGTGTGGACCTACACTACTCAGCAGTGGCCATGCTGTGGTGGCAGCCCACATACAAAATAAAGGAAGACTGGCACAGATGTCAGCTCAGTGATAATCTTCCTCAAGCAAAAAGAGTAAGATTGGCAACAGATGTTAGCTCAGGGTGAATCTTCTTCAGCAAAAAAAAAAAAAAGAAGAAGAAGAAGAAAAGAAAAACCAACACATTTTCCAAAGAAAACACACATATATGGGTGCCTAGTGCATGCATTTATATAAATACCTTTCACTTAGAAACACAAAATACAAAAAAATAAACTAGACTCATTTTAAGTACTATTGGGATTCCATTAACAATTCAGTAATAGACAATGACACCAAAGAAAATCATCTTAGAATATATATCTATATTAATATAGTCATAGATGAAAAACAGGTACAAGTTACATCTGATGTTTCTTTTTTCCCTATCAAAATCACCAGAATAATTTGTTTCTCCAAAATACTCACACTAAGTTTTTCTCTACATGTAACTATACTTCAGGGAAAAAATGTTTTTTACTAGTAATTAGGGAGAATATTTTTAAACTGTAAATGAATTGAACACCACCTGGAAGTTCGGAAAGCTGAAATACTGGTATCTCTGTGAAAAGGTGAGAAGAAATTCATACATATTAATTCATTGACTACTTGACTCTGAGGCTGAAGATTAAATTCAGATTATATTATAAAAAATGAATTTGATTTTTATATGAATATTTGGATCTTACCTTGAACTTGTTCAGAACATCTTTCACGGGCCTTTTCTCTCATAATTTTAGGGATCAAAACATCTTTTTCAACATGTCTGAGATGCTGTTCTGAAAAATAAAAAAGATCTTTAGTAAAGTCTCAAGTAAATCACCAGTTTAGGGGGAAAATAAACCCTATATGTAAAATAAAATTCTAAGCCAATATATTAAAAACTGATTCTTTCATAACCTCATAAAATTTTGATTATTTTAGCCACTGAAAATCATTCTAAATATATATATTTTTTATAACTGAAAAAAATGTGAAAGATATATGCAACATTTTTCTAAAAATTTCTGCAAACTATATTGCAACACATTTATTTGATAACATATTCCATTTAGTTTTGTCAAAATTAAAGTCACAGACTAAAACATTATCATTTTTCTTCTTAATATAATCTACAAAAAGAGGATTTTAATCAATATTGAGATACAAGGATAGATAAAGAGATCCAAGATTAAGAGACACATGAGTAGTTTCTCTAGCTACTACTAAGAGTAGCCTAAGAAAGAGAGAACTGGCAGAAGAAAAAGTGGAACTATAGGTGCACATAAAAACAAAGCACGTGAAATTTCTGTGCATTTTAAACACAACTACCACAATAGACTATGATGGTAGACTGAGCACCCTGCTCCAGGGTCCTATCTGTTCCTTAAATTCCTAAAGAGCCATGAGAAACAAAGGGGTAAGTGTCCTCAGGGAGCCAAAATGACCAGGAATCTGACAGACAAAGACAGATGAGGTGAGATTATAGGAGGTAATCATATTCCCACAGAGTTTTTCCCCAGGAAACAAATGATGCCAAAAGTTGGTGTTGCTCCGTCCTCTATAGCAGTAAAAATGGGGAGCAAGAGACTTTCCTGGAGAAAAAAAAAACCACTATTGGTTGAAATACCTCAGTAGGAGCCAAGTGGATCACCTCTTCTGTTTCCTTGAGACCATGAGCAAAAGAAGTAAATATAAGTATTTATCCCCAAGAGGTCAAGAAGTTTCCTAGTATCTAGTGACACCTAGGAAGACCAGGAACCCCTAAACTTTTCCCAGTACTATGTGGTTCCCAACAACCTCTGGATGCAGGCAGCTATGAAGTGATATAGTATTTGCAGAGAGGGTAACAGGGCACCTCAAAAAGCAAACAAAATCAACAACAACAAAACAGCCAAAGGCAACAAAAGCAAAAATAAATAAGTGGGATTACATCAAACTAAAAAGCTTCTGCACAGCAAAGGAAACTATCAACAAAATGAAAAGGCAATCTAACAAATGGGAGAAAATACCTGCAAATCATATATCTAATAAGGAGTTAATATCCAAAATATATAAAGAACTGATACAACTCACTAGCAAAAAAACAAACAATCCAATTAAAAAATAGGAAAAAGATCTGAATAGACATTTTTCCAAAGAAAACATACAGATGGCTAATAGATAGATGAAAAGGTACTAAACGGGCCAGCCCAGTGGTGTAGCAGTTAAGTTCTCGAGTTCTGCATCAGCGGCCCGGGGTTCGCCGGTCAGGATCCTGGGTGTGGACCTAGTCACCACTCATCAAGCCACACTGAGGCAGTGTTCCACATAGAAGAACTAGAGGGACCTACAACTAGGATATACAACTATGTACTGGGGCTTTGGGGAGAAAAAAGAAAAAAAAAGAGGAAGATTGGCAACAGATGTTAGCTCAGGGCCAACCTTCCTCAAAAAAAAAAAAGAAAAAGACATAGATCTGAGTTGCATTTAAAAAAAAAAAAAGAAAAGGTGCTCAACATCACTAATCATCAGGGAAAGGCAAATCAAAACCACAAGGAAATACCACCTTACACCTGTTAGAATGGCTATTACCAAAAAGATAAAAATATTTAAAACATAAAAAAATTTCTTTTCTTCAAAAAGAAATAAGTGTTGTCAAAGATGGAGAAAAAAGGGAATTCTTGTGCACTGTTGGTGGGGATATAAATTGGTGGAGTGACTATGGAAAACAGTATGGAGATTCCTCAGAAAATTAAAAATAGAACTACCATATAATCAAGCAATTCCACTTCTGGGTATTTACCAGAAGAAAACAGAAACACTAACTTGAAAAGATATATGCACCCTCATATTCATTGCAGCATTATTTAGAATAGGCAAGATGTGCAAACAATCTAAGTGTCCATCGATGGATGAATGGACACAATGGAATATTATTCCACCATAGAAAGGAATGAAATCTTGCCATTTGCAACAAAATGGATGAACCCTGAGGACATTATGCTAAGTGAAATAAGTCAGACAGAGAAAAACAAATACCATATAATCTCACTTATACATGAAATCTAAAACAAAACAAAAACAAGCTCATAGATATAGAGAACAGACTGGTCATTGCCAGAGGTGGGGGATGAGGTGAGTGAAATACATGAAGGTGGTCAAAAGGTACAAACTTCTAGTTATCAAATAAATAAGGCATGAGGATCTAATGTACAGCACGGTGACTACAGTTAATAATACTGTATTGCATATTTGAAAGTTGCTAAGATTAAATCTTGAAAGTTCTCATCACAAGAAAAAGAAATTTGTAATTACGTATGGTGATGGATATTTAACTACACTTACTGTGGTGATCATTTCACAATATATACAAATACTGCACCATTATGTTGTATGCTTGAAACTAATATAATGTTATATGTCAATTATACCTCAATAAAAAACAGCAAAGAATCACCTAAATTTGATGAAGGACAACACAGTGAAAGAGAGAAACTGACTGTAATTAATCAAGAAGTAACCAACTCCTATGCAAGTTAAAAGAGTAAAGAAAATAAGATTTTAGAATAAGTATAATAAATATACTGAGGCAAATAAAAAGACATGAATCCTCAGATAGAAATGGATCATAGATTACCTAAATGCACTTCGATGAAAGGTCTCAAACTCAAAAATCCTAAAAGCTTCAAAAGGGAAAAAACATTACCCACACACAGGAATGAGAATCAGATGTATATCATTTTTCACTGGTAAGATATAGAAGAAGACAAATGGAGAAATAACTTCAAAGTTCTGAGAGAGAATTACTTTATATCCAAGAATTCTAGAGCAACTTGAGTGATACGTAGATACCAAAAAGTTTACCACCTTCACACCTTACTGAAAAAGAAATGATCCTTAATGTTGTGTGACAAGCCACTAATTAAACTTAGTGACTCAAAACAATAAACATTTTGTTTTGCATAGAGATCCTACAGGTCAGGAATGCAGCAAGGTAAAGCAGAATCGATTCTTCTCTGCTTCACAATGTCTGGGGCCTCACCCAGGAAGACTGAAATGATAGGCATTGACTTCAACAGCTGCAAAAGCTGGAGCTGGTGGATTTAGTTCCGAGATGACTTTTTTCACTTATGTACTTGACATCTGGGCTGGAATGGCTGAAGAACAGGCTCAAAGGGGACTGTAAACCAGAGCCCCTGTACATGGCTTCTCCATTTGATTTAGCTTCTCATAGTAAGGCAGGTAGGTTAAGAGAAAAAGCAATCTGAGAAGCAAGCATTCTAAGATAACCAAGTGAAAGCGACACGGCCTTTTCTGACCCTGTCATGGAAGCCATGCAGAATCATTCCTGTTACATTGTAGTTCCAGTCACTAAGGACAGCCTATACTCAAGTGGAAGGGAGTTAAGACTCTATTCTTTGTGGCAAGGCCACATTACAGAAGAGAATGAAGGATGAAAGATAATGTTGTGACCTTCCTTGTAAAATAAAATCTGCCACAAGAAGTAATAGATAATGTAGTATGATAAAATAAAAATGAATCCATGATGTACAAATGTGAAATATATAAAGCATATTAGAAAAACATATATTTAAATTTATATGTTAAAAGTATAAAGTACTTGAATGACATCATCAACTAACTTGACCTAACTAACATTTATAGAACACTTCACTCAATAACAGCAGAATATTAACCAAGAAAACCCATAGTCTGGGCTATGAAACAAATCTCAATAAATGCAAAATAATTCAAGTCATACAAAGTATGTTCCCTGACACCAATGTAATTAGATTAGAAATCAGTAACAGAAAGATCTTTTGATAATTTCTACATATTTGGAAACTAAGTAAGAGACTTAAACCCATAGGTCTAAGAAAAAATTAAAAGACAAATTAGAAAGTATTTTGAAATGAATGAAAATGAAAATACAACATATCAAAATTTGTGTGATGAAGCTAAAACAGTACTTAGAGGAAAATTTGTAGCACTAAAAGCATACATCGGAAAAGAAGGATGGTCTTAAATCAATGACTTAAGCTTCTACCTTTAGAAACTAGAAAAAGAGTAAATTAAACACAAAGAAAACAAGAAAAAAGGGAAACAATAAAGATCAAAGCAGAAATCAATGAAATAGAACCAGACCAAACAAACAAAATGATAGAGAAAAGCAATAAAACCAAAGCCTGTTCTTTGAGATCATTAAAACTGATAAACCACTAGCCAGAAAAAAAGAGAGGTCACAAACATCAGAAATAACATACATTTTTAAATGATAATAAGAAAACAGTATAAACAAATGTAGGTCAATAAATTTGACAATAAAGATGAAATGGACAAATTCCTTGAAAAACACAAATAATCAAAGCTTACTCAAAGATATAGATAACCAGTATAGTCCTGTACTTATAAAAGCAATTGAAGCTGTAGTTAAAAGCGTTCTCACAAAGAAAATTCCAGGCCCTGATAGCCTTACTGGTGAATTAAACCAAACATTTACAAAAGAAATACTACCAATTCCATACATACTCTTCCAGAAAATCACTGTGAAGTCAGCATTACCCAGATACCAAAACCAGACAAAGACATTATAAGAAAAGAAAACTGCAGTCAAATATTCCACCATGAATGTAGATACAAAAATCTTAACAAAAGATTAGCAAATTGAATCCTACAATACAAAAAAGGATAAAACTTCATACCCAAGTGAAGTTTATCCCAGGATTGCAAGGTTCACTTAACATTCAAAAATCAATAAATGTAATTCATCATCTTGAAAAATTAGAAAAAAAAAAACACATGGTTATCACAATAGACA